TATATATATAAATCAGTAGGTAGACGCAGACAAAATAAACTGCTACGACACTTTGACTTGTAGGAGACATAGAAATATTTCATTAGCGAAATTTTCCTACAAGTCAAAGTATCGTAGCAGTTTAGTTTGTCTGCGTCTACCTACTGATTTATTCCTACGATGAGACAAAGGCTGACTAACAAAGAGCTCTTATGAATGTTCCCATTGATTGCCCTCAAGGGCCCCAAACATGCTAAACACATGTTATGTGTGGTACGGGCCTGCCCACATGGCCCAGATATTTTACATATGGGCCCCACAAACTTTGCTACCTGGGGCAGGGTGACAAAGGCAAAGGTCTGGATGGCAACTAGCAAGGGTGCAATGGGCCTAGACTAGAGATAGGCCTGCTGTAGGCCTATAATGGAAAATATTTCTATATTAAATAAAGTGTAAAGTACAACATTATATATACAGTACCTTAACTGGTTGTGGTTATATATTTATGAATGTTCGATTACAGATGCTCTTTTTACAAAACCAGATGCAAGCACTCTTTTGTAACGGGGCGCTTATTTGTACGTGTACGGGTATATCATTGTGCTATATATGATTTTCACAAAGATATTTTCCACAAATATGTTTTTCAGAAAATATATCACGTGTGTTTACTGGTCAATTATGACCGTTACAACAATAGGCGAAACAGAGTCTCCAGAGACTGATATTGTAAGTTGGCCCTTAACTCTTTGTTATATTTTTACCAACATCATTTCTTGTTTTGTTTTCCAACAGCAAATACATTCGGTCGATGTTTTGGGCAATCGTCACATTGACAACAATTGGCGGCACAAATTCTCCAATTACTAAACTTGTGAGTAAAGTAATGATAACGAGGGGAGATACTGAGGGGAGTTTTCGATATTTACCTTTTTACTTTCTATTGCAAAATAATGTTATAGACACAATTTTACAGAATCCTTAAAAAAAAAAAAATGTCACAAGAGGCGAAGGCCACTACTCGTTATAAAGTAACAAGTTAACGAATATTTTGATCTTTATAAGGCCTATTAATAATGTACTCTGTGGATTCTGTTTTTGTCAGCTCCACTGTAGAAAATCTTGCATTTACTGCCAAAGTCCGTTTTCCTGGCTTTCAATATAACTTTGTAAACTATCACTGTAAAAAGAAAGACTATGTATCCAACTACTGAATATTGTTGGAATATAATAATATATTTCCTATGTTTTTATTTTTTCCCCTTCTATATATAGGCCTAAGAATGAGATAAACAGACCTGACCTCTTTCAAGGGGGAAAACCTTGAATTTTCAATAAATTTAAGGTCATTGAAAGACACCTTAAAAGTCGGGAAAGCTCATTTCCGTCCACCTAGAAATCTAAATTTGGACCCCCAGACCCTTCATTCTTTTTGGGGCTTTTAGAAACATTTTCAACCCTCTCTTTTAAATCCTGGATCCGCCCCTAAATGGTGTCACTTCATTGCCATAGTTCTTACTTCGATTATGGGATAAGGGAAGTCAAAACAATGAAGGCGATCTTTAAATCCAATATGGTGCCAATGTAAAAATAATGTTTGGTGATTGCATGATACTCCCTACTTATACATATCTAAACACCCTTGATGTAACAAAAATATCAAATACAGTGTATTATCTTTAGCAGCCATCTTTAAATCTAATATTATGGTAGTCATCTTGAAATTTAATATGGCGGCTTTCTGACATGATTTCTGATGACTGTAGATACCCATTATCAAAAACATGAGTAAAGATTTTTTAGAGTAGTAGGTGTTGTAAATATGAAGATACAGTATTGAAAAAAATTATCAATAATTTGGCCTCATCTTGAAAAGCCAATATGAAAAACATTTTGGTATTCAATATGGCGGTTTTGTGACATAATTTCTAATTGTTGCATGAAACTCTTTGATATCAAAAACGTGGGTAAAAATCTTTGATTGACAGTGATACCGTAGGTGCTGTATATATAAATATATTGAAAAAGATACCATTAATTTGGCGATATCTAGAAATCCAATATGGCAGATATCTGACATATTATCTGATTGCATGAAATTTCTGATATTGAAAACATAGGTAAAGATCTTTGATTGACAGTAATATGTGCTGTAGTTTTATAAATATATTGGCTAAAATTAAATATTTTGGTAGCCATCTTAAAATCCTTACCAGGCAGCCATCTTGAAATTCAATATGGCGGCTTTCTGACATAATTCCTGATGGCGGCATGATACTCCCTAATATCAAAAACATGGGTAACAGTTTTTATTGACAATACAATGTGCTGTAGATATAAATATATTGATAAAAATATCAATAATTTGGGGGCCATCTTGAAAAACAATGCGGTGGCCGCCTGACATAGAGCTATGTATGACGATTGCATGGCACTCCCTGATATTTAAAACATAGGTAAACATCTTTAATTGGCAGTGATATGTGCCTTATATATTTAAATATATTGAGTAAATTAAATATTTTGGCAGCCATATTGGATGTCAAGATGGTGGTCACTAGACGGCGGTCACTTTGTCGGGTTCTATCTTTTTAATGATCCTTAAGTGTGAGAAGTTTCATGCTTAGCCGCTCTACTAAAACACTAATACAGTGAATCTCAAAATACAATAATAGTGTGTTGAAAACATGTTTTCCCCAAAAATAATAGAAATAATTTTTCTGTAGGAATACGTTTTTACCGGTGCCACATATCTGATTGGTGTTTTTCTCTTCGCTGCTGTGGTTGGCAACGTGGGTGACGTCATTAGCAACATGAACGCAGCAAGGCAAGAATTCCAAACCAAGTGTGTACAATTACTATTTTTTTTCATTATAAATTTATGAATACTGAATATTTTGAACGGTTATGAACGAAGTAAAAATATATATTCTATGTCAAGATTTTAGAGACACCTATAATAAGTCATCTTATACACATCTAGATGTGTATAAGAGACAGATAATAATATATTTCCTAACACGATTCTACATGCAATTCAACCTTAGCTCTACTAAAACACTAACAGTGAATCTCAAAATACAATAATAGTGTGTTGAAAACATATTTCCCCCAAAAATAATAGAAATAATTTTTCTGTAGATATATATATGATAATATAGTACAGGCAACTGACTGGAGATACTTTATCTCGAATGAAAATCTATACCGAATCACAAAGAATAAAATCAGAGGAGGAGGAATAAGATCCATCCTTGAGAGAACAATCTCAAACAGCCATATTTCGAAGTCACAATTCATTCGAAGCTGCTTCTGTCGTACACGTTAATTCTAGAATAGGTAGTTGGGTAATAATCAGGTATACACTGAACATTAGGTATAGTGTGACCTGACAGGGAGATGAGCGACCCTGCCCATATGTTGAGCTTCGGGACCCTCCTGACCCGGGAGGGGAATACCCGACAGGGTCCCACCTGGAGGTACAGGTAGTTATGTAACATAATAAAATAACACAATTAAAATAGAAAATAAAAGCTTGTTTAATAAAACATCTACTGTATTTTGAATCTGTTCACCAATGAAGTTAACGGTTATCTGGATTTATATTATATGCAACAATTTTTTTCTACCCGTAATTGTGTAATAGAGTGTAGGCCTATCTGGCGGCAATTTAAATCTGTTCACCCATGAAGACTCTGTGGGCTAATGGTTATTAGGCTTGCCTTGACAGCGAGAGGTCGCAGGTCTTGTCAGAGGCATTCTATTACACAATTTCTTTATTCATTTATTCTTTGATGATTTATAGGCATATGTATGTATGTATATATATACAATATAGCGTCACAATAATGAAAGTCAAATACGTAAAATGTTGATTTTAGAAACACTAAACTTTATTTGGCGAATACTACTCCTACTGTCTTTGTCAACGCTTGACAAAAACTGAACACATTTAGAAAGTTTCTTAGTTAAGTCAAAAGCAAGTCGGCATACCATAAAGGAATAATGATATATGTACAAATAAACAGTGATAATGGTGAACAATGAATGACCAAGTGGTGGACTTAGCCTGGTTCACGTCGAACTTTATCTAGATATACCCGTCTTGAAACATGATACGATAATCCCCTAATCGTGTTCGATGCCAAGTAGAGCCAGATAAACAGCCAGCCAGTTTCAGGCCGTCGAAGTCACACGGTGGAAATGCTTGTTTAATAAAACATCTACTGTATTTTGAATCTGTTCACCAATGAAGTTAACGGTTATCTGGATTTATATTATATGCAACAATTTTTTTCTACCCGTAATTGTGTAATAGAGTGTAGGCCTATCTGGCGGCAATTTAAATCTGTTCACCCATGAAGACTCTGTGGGCTAATGGTTATTAGGCTTGCCTTGACAGCGAGAGGTCGCAGGTCTTGTCAGAGGCATTCTATTACACAATTTCTTTATTCATTTATTCTTTGATGATTTATAGGCATATGTATGTATATATATTATATATAGGCTATATATATATATAAATATATATATATACAATATAGCCTCACAATAATGAAAGTCAAATACGTAAGATGTTGATTTTAGAAAAACTAAAATTTATTTGGCGAATACTATACTCCTACTGTCTTTGTCAACGCTTGACAAAAAATGAACACATTTAGAAAGTTTCTTAGTTAAGTCAAAAGCAAGTCGGCATACCATAAAGGAATAATGATATATGTACAAATAAACAGTGATAATGGTGAACAAAGAATGACCAAGTGGTGGACTTAGCCTGGTTCACGTCGAACTTTATCTAGATATACCCGTCTTGAAACATGATACGATAATCCCCTAATCGTGTTCGATGCCAAGTAGAGCCAGATAAACAGCCAGCCAGTTTCAGGCCGTCGACGTCACACGGTGGAAATGCTTGTTTAATAAAACATCTACTGTATTTTACGAACCTCTAGTACCGACTTGCTTTTGACTTAACTACCGTATTGTTTCTCAAATTGTATATTACTGTACCAAGAAACTTTCTCAATGTGTTCATTTTTTGTCAAGCGTTGATAGAAAATAACAGGGTTTTTTTTCGCACTGTGGCAATGCCGATAGAAAACAGCAGCTTTTTGGCACTGCGGCAGTGCCGACAGAAAACAGCAGCTGTTTTTCGCACTGTGGCATTATTTACACTGTAGTGCGAAAAAAGCTCCGATTTTCTATCGGCACTACCGCAATGCAAAAACACTGCAATTTTCGATCGTCACTGCCACTCGAAAAGCTGCTGTTTAATTAATTAAATGGATGTTTTTATCGATAGATAATGGTATCAATAATTGGTTAGGTTTAGCCTAGCCTATATTATTGTTAACATTATATTATATATGTTTTACAAATAATTATAATTATTTCTATTTATTAAATATATACATTACTAGGTCCATACATAAAAAAATAAAATAAAATAAAACAACCAAAATTATAAATAAAATAGTAGTAATGATAAAAATAATAATAATAATATAATAATTATAATAATATTAACAGTACTCGAATAATACTATAATAATGGATAATAATACTTTAATAATATTTTAATTGACCACCTTTTTACAATGGTTTCATTAATGAGATGAATCAGCATAATTTATTAAATCAACTTGCGTCTATGCAAAACCTGTTTCTTATTTAAATAAAGATGTTATCTATTTTATTATAAATTATAAGTTTATTTTCTATGATAAATTTATCCACATACATCATGTTTTCAATGTTAGTATGGTTGATAAATAATATATTTAAAAAAATAACAATAGTATTAATAATAATAATAATAATAATAATAATAATAATAATGAAGGTGCTCGAATAATGCTTTAATAAAGAATTAATAATACTTAAATATTACTTCAATAGGCCTATTTGCGATAGTGTGATTAATGAGATATTTATTGATTAATTTATAGAAATATATACTAGGTATATACCATTAATAATGATTCAGCATGCTAAATCAACTTACGTCTTATAGATGTAAAATCTGTTTTTTTCCCCAATAAAATGATACCTATTTTATTCTGTTTTAAAGAATAATCTTATAAATTACATTATAAAGTTTCATTGTAAATTTTATGAGAATTTAATCACATAATTTATGTTTTCAATTATTTAAGCATTTAAACAATTTAGTGGGCCTAACGCTGGGTGTAAATGTAAAATAAAACAAAAACCAAAAACAAAAGCATTGCCAAAGTGTTTTCGTGTATGCAAATGCTAATACTATCGATCAATTACTGTGTATATTTGGTAAGCAAAGCTCAGGTATTCATACGAGGTGACGAATATCCGTCGAAATGCCGTATAAATAAACTGCAATTATGTAAATAACTTTCACAAGAACTTTACGAATATCTTAATTAATATCTTAAATTAGTTAATTAATAATTAATTATTAGATTGATATAAAAATTGTGACCTATAACTACAATTTATTAATATATTTTAATTATTAAATACAAGAATCCTCCAACGAATTTTTCAGGTCAAAAATTGGCATCAAAAGTAGTAATTTTTCAATCGCGATCTTCGTATATATATATATATACATATATATATATATATATAAACGGCATAGGCATGTGTTGCACATATGTTCCACTAATTATAAAATATACTGTATGTCGGAGACAAACAATAAAAGATGAATTGACGTGTTTCGGAACATAAATATATTTTATTATAACGAATATTCCGTCCTCATCCTAAGGACTTCATCAGCGTAACTGATTCACATTGCAAAGGGCTTAGTAATTATAAAATAGAGGCTGGGTAATTATACAATAGAAGGTGATAACATAGTTATTTCGTTCAATAGGCTTAATTAAGATAAACAATATTATGGAGCATATGTAATGAGCATCATACTAAGTGTAGTAAGCAGGATATACTAAAGGATAAAAAATGTCAATATGTAAGTAATACTGTATAAAGATAAATCAAGTAGAGGCATGTAAATATAAACTATGTATAAAAAATATATATAGAATTGTATTGAATTGGTCAGTTCAAAACCCATATAAAGCACACCTATTTCAATATTTTCCTCTCACCTGTTTAAGATCTTCTTGTTTTATTGTTTTTTGTTTTTTGTTTTTGTTTTTTTTAATTTCCTATCGAACTTTTTTGCTTTGAGTTACTGCTTTATTGCATAGTTTAGGTTTGCACACTTTGTTTGGGTTTAGTTCTATGCAAGCTCTACTCGGAGGTATTTTTGACTTATTGTGGAGAGTGGCTAACAGCGCTTTGTATAACTGCAAGGAAAAGCGCTATACAATAATATAGTGACAAGTGAAAAGTAACATGCGCATTTGTTTATTTCTTATTAGGTTTAGTACCTCCTGTGCTTTGTTTGCTGATAAGCCAATTAAGTTTCAGCAACTTTTAACTAAGTATCTCTAATTTGTATTATGTATATCATTTTTCAGCAAATTATTAATAGTAAAATTACAACAATTATTTAATTAAACTAATTAACCAATGGGAAGAAAGAATCCTCTGAGGTGGGGTTTTAGAAAATGCTTTGTAATAGCTGTGACCGGCACTGTTTACCATTGACATATTCGTTTTGTATTCTTTTATATAGAATGGATTCTCTGAAATTTTACATGAATCATCGGAAGGTCCCAGAGGATCTTCAAAGTCGTGTAAAGAAATGGTCTGAATATGCGTGGACAAGGTATCTTTATTCATAATCATTAAAATCAATATTCTCGAAAGTGAACTAAGCTAGTCCAGGATTACCCGATAGGAATGGGGCCTTAAAAAATATGCCACAGAGTGCACACTGTGTCAAAAGTGTGTATACACGGCCTACCTTCCGTGTGTACACACAGTGGTCACTGTGTTTGGACAGAAAAACACTGTGTACAGAATTCAAATAGTCAGCCTCAGTGTGTATACACTGTGATCACTATGTGTTACTACATAAAGTACACAGTGTGCAAATTCACCTAGTAGTTCACACTGTGGACACACTGTGACCACAGTGTTTTTTACACAGGAAAAAAAAACAGTCTGAAATTCACATAGTCCAGAGTGTGAGCACACTGTGACCACAGTGTGTATTAAAATCACAGGAAACACAGTGTGAAATTCACATAGTAGGCCTAGTTCAAAGTGTAAACACATTGTGAGCAGTGTATTTTATACAGGAAACAGTTAAATTCACATAGTCCACAGTGTGAACACACTGTGACCACAGTGGTACAAGCAACAGTTGTTGAGTAACAAAATGGATCACGGTGGTTCAGTAAATATGTTTTGTTGTTATTGAATAACAACAGGGGAAGGAAGGAGGAAGGAAGTAAGAAAGGGAGGGAGGGAGATATAAAAACCAAACCCAGTCAGCCTGCTGGGAAAAGAAAGAACGGTATAATAATAATGATAATGATAATAATAATAATAACAATAAATCGGATAAAAAACTACTTCTCTCACAAATAACATAGCACAGTCTTGTCATTTGCACATGCATTGGCATGCTGATAGCATGTTTTAATTTTTTTTAAATATTCTTCCCTTTTATTATTTAACTGTGTATTTGTGAAGATAATTCCAAGCTGATATTGCCACTTTAAATTGGCTTTTAAAGTATAAATATAATTGAATTGAATTAATAATTTTTATAATTAAAATAATCATTTTTATGTTATAATAATTCTAAGTAACATTTATCTTAAAAATCTTTTCTTGTGGAACAGAAATATTGATATAATTTAAAGTCAGACTCCAAAGGAAAAACATTTGATATGTTGTAAAACTAATTTTTCTAAGACAGAAAAAAAGTAAAAAAAAACAGGATAACGGTGAAAAAAAGGGCGCCTACGCAAATTTTCCCCCAATTTTTCAATGTTCAAAATTCTGTATCTCATTCACTGTTCCTCAGTTTTTTGTCAAACAACATTTTTCTGTCTTAGAAAATCAGTTCTACAACATATATTTTGTTTTCCTCCGGAGCCTGACTTTAAGAAACATATGTTGGTAACTATGAATAGTTCACCTTAATATTGCAATCATACCCATCGTACTCTTTCTTTTAAGATATTTATTTATAATTTCATTGATTTTGTAACCATCAAACTTTAAACAACTTACAGAATGAAAATTTATTATAATGGCAATTGCTGTAGGTATAATATACATGGTATCAATGTTTTATCAGACCAGTTCATGGGATCACATTATGCCCACTTTGAATTATACTTTTATTAGAACACAAGCACTTGACGATCAGTGTTTTTTGGAGATTTTGCCACCGAGATTGAGAGCTGAAATAGCTAAGCATGTCCACCTAGAAACGTTACAGAAGGTAATTCTATTTTTTTAAACAGATATTTAGATATTTAATTTAATTTTTTTTTCTTTGAGGTTTATTTATTGTTTGTCTTTGTATACATACAGAGTAATAAACAGTTCATATTCTACGTAGTAAAAAATTCGTGTTCATATTTGTTTTGCAATTTATCATTTTACACATTAAGTTTCGCAGTAATTACACATTAGAACTGAATTGTGTATAACGTTCGTAATATCGAAAAACAGTTACTTTCACCTACTCCTATACCTATTTTGTTAACAATATTTTTTATTTTGTTATTATTTTTCTTAAATATAAAGGCCATTTATTCAGCTTCCGAACGTCATGTATATTACAACTAGTTCCTTTTAAAGTCAGGCTCATGAGGGAAAACATTTGTATGTTGTACAACTGATTTTTTAAAGACACAAACAGGGTGTTTGACGAAAAACTCTGGAACGGTTAATAAGGTGTACAGGTTTTTTAACATTCAAAAACTGTGGGAGAACGTGTAAAAGGGGTGGTTAGCCATTTTCCTCACAGTTTTTAAATTTTGTATTCATGCTTTGGTTTATCCAATGAATGATTAAACTTTCCTCTTATTGGTGGCATATTTTCTCAAATGTTTATTAATTAAATTATGAACTTTTAATTCCTTGTCATTTCTGTAATTTCATGTTTTCCCTCTTGTAACAATTTTTATTCACGCGGGGTACAGTGTTTTCTCTTTTTATGAATAGAGAAATATATGTAACTAATCACTTATTTTTTCTATTTTGATGAGTTATTTATATCTTAAATCATATTGTATGATTCTTAAGGTCAAAATATTCGAAGACTGTGAACAAGGGTTACTTTGTGAACTTGTACTCAAACTACGGTCTCAGATCTATCCACCAGGCGACTTCATTTGCAGGAAAGGAGAAATTGGGCGGGAGATGTATATCATAAATCACGGACGTGTTTCGGTAATAACTATCGTAGTTATGCTCCTATATATAAAATTATATGGCTAATATATAATGTATAATCTACCATAAAACCTCGTAAAGAAGACCTGGACTTCCTTTTGAACCTTTGAATTAGTTCATTTTGAGATGGGCTTCTTTTCGAGATTGGATTTTTTTTACTACTTTTCTGCCTGCTGTGGGACTTTGACTTCCGCATGATTATTAGAAGTAGCTGGAGATGTGTATAAGAGACAGATATATATATATATATATATATATATGTTTAAACATTCTTAATAATATTAAAAATAGTAATTACTTTATCTTTAATAAGCAGGTACTCAATAGCATAATTTTTAATTAACAGTCAACAATTAAAAAAATCGTATTAATAACATACTCAGTACCTTCACAAGTTTATGTAACACTTCGTGGTTCTAATTTAACATGGTGCAATATATTTTAGATCAATTTTTCATATTCGGTGGAGTCTAGGACGTAGGCATTATTATAGGCTAGGCCTAGGCCGGACGCACCTTAATAAATTAGGGCCTTGGCTGGCCTAGCTAGACCCAAGCCAGGCTAGAACCGAGCCGAGGCTTTCCATCTAGGCCTACAGTACATCTACATTTACTAGGGCTATACGACTTGGCTAAATCATATTCATCCTAAATTTATGTGTTGTATCACAGACTTTGAACATGAAACCATAATTTCATAAGTGTTATCATAAGTTAAACAATGAGATACATCAGTCACCAATTCTGGCTCCATTGTAATCGCCTCTACACTCGCCGCGTGATGCTGACATGCAAGCCAACCTCTTATCGTTGTGTTCTAAAACGGACGCTATTTTCACTCAGAACCGTCCTCAAATTCCGCGGTACGGTGAGATGCAATCTTTCACGCATGCGCAGATGAATTTTCGGCTCTAATTACCGTACTAGATTTCTCCCGTACTGAAACGAAAGCTCGCTTGTAGCACAATGCTACGGTCTGTCTTAATGTAAGTATCCGTTAAATATGTGAAAAGTAAAACTGTAATCAATAATAAATATAAGGTACAACATACCAATGATCTAGAAGTACTGTTATGTTTACTGTGCTTGTCTTTAGAACAAACGATCTTTCTTCTACTCTGCCGGGCACGTCTTGTCCCTCTCAAGGCAGGTTGTCAACTCATCGATCCTTGTCTAAGACATGTTAACCCCAGCACAAGGACGCTAGGCGATTAATTATTCCGCTGTCCAAATTAACTTGACAAACAGTTTATACCTGGATATGCAAAACTTCTCTATTTACAATAAAGTAGTTCCCGAAAAAAATAATAACAGCTTCCTATTCTATCTGCTCATAATTTTCATTATCTCTTGGCACCTTAAATCGGCACTCATCAAGAATAACATAGGCATGTTTACTTTTTCTTATTTTTATAGGCTTATGTTTTTTAACTCTCAGTATTATCTCCAACTAATAATAATGTAAGCCATGGTCGGGGAATGGCCTTCTGTATACAACGGTGCTCAATCATGGAATTTTGTTTACTCATTAAAATATTGTTAACATCATATTGGCTGAATAAATGATTATTTGTGACTACATCTTTAATTTTAATGAGCCCGACGTCAATCCAATTCTTGAAGAGTAAAGAAAATAGAAAACGGTTGCTTACTAGCACACCCCTTTATATACGCCATGGAACGTACCACTGATTTATCGAATATCGGCATGAATTTATGCATGTTATTATTTAACAATCTGCTGTTAGACATGTTAAGCATCACATTGAGAGCCTCATGCCTTCTAAGATAAAACAAAGGAATGTACTTCCACTTTGCCTCTTCAGGTTTTAACAATGTTTTGACCCAAATCATTTTAGCGCTTTTACCTTTAATTCAAAATCTGGCATTTTAATGCCTCCCCTCGAAAAGGCTCCTATCAATGTATTTTCTTTATTTTTGGCTTTTTCTTTTGCAAAATGAAATCTGAAATCAAGTTATTAACAATTTTAACTTTTTCAGAAACTTCAATTATGTATGCATGATATAATAATTTAGGTAAACCAAGTATTTTAATAATTATTGATCTTCCAAAAATTGCAAGATTTCGTCTCTGCCAATTATTGAGGCAGTGTTCAAATTTCAAAATGTTGTCATTCCAATTGTTTTTTTCAGAAAGTGCTTTGTCATGCCTTACATAGACACCAAGTTACTTTGACTTGGTTTGTTACCCAATTGATTTCAATATTACTGCTATACATTAATGTATCTACTTTTTCCAATTCTCATACCTTAACTTATTTAGATTTATTTTTCTTTAGAGACTTCGCGACATTTCTGTACAAGACCCTTAAATGACACTTTCTTCATTTCTTGCAAAAGGATTGTATAATCTGCCTGCTGTGGGACTTTGACTTCCGCATGATTATTAGAAGTAGCTGGTAACGCAATTCCTTTAAATAATTCAGATATTCTTAAATTACTTGACATCATTTCAGCCACTAAAATAAATAATAATACCGAAAGTGGGAAACTGGACTTACTTGTTTATTCAATGGCGAACTATACTCACCAGGATGAATAACAATATCCACAAACGTAAACATTGGAGTAGTATAGAACAACTTCGTTAAGGAGTTTGAATTGATCGGTTGTCATTTAACTATCATTTTTATAATATATTAATTTTTTTTAGTACAACCAATGACCCAAAAAGTATTTAAGTATTTTATTCTTTTTTTTCTCGAAACTCAATCCATTTAGCCCTTGCTCTAATCTGTGTTTCTTTTGCTTCAATTTCATATATTTTTTTCTAGTTCTTTTGTCTTAGAATTCAGAATTTCTTGTGCTTTTTTATTACATTCATTTATGTTTAATAATGTTTTAATTATTTTGTCAATTTCAGACTCCTACTGTTTTTTCCTATTAATTTGTAATTTGGCCTTGTTATTACCTAAAAGTTTGAAAAATCTTTAACCTTTACTTTGATTGTTTCCCATCTAACTTCTGGATTAGTTTTTTTCATTGTGCTGTTTGTAATTTTAATGATTTTACATACTTGATATTTATAATCCTTCATTTAAATAATTGTCATTTAATTTTCAGATACCTGGTCCTTTCTTTAAAGTTGATAAAGCTAATTGTAATGATACTGATGGTCAGTTAAGATTGGTGGTCGTAACAGACCCTCCTGACTGAATATTTTTGGACACAAGCCGATAATCAAGACGTTTATAGATAACTTGCAATTTTATTTTCTCCATGTGAAATGATTTTTTGTTTGTTTTTCCCCTCTATATATCAATTAATTTCACATTCATTAATTATTTTAATTTATTAACTAAACTGTCACTTGTACATGCACTTCCCTTTTGGTCTAAATTTGGATTCAGAATACAGTTCCAATCTCCTCCTATTATAATTGTATTATTTTCATTATCATTAATAACTTTAAGTTTTTCATTTAAATCTGAAAAGAAAAGCCTCTTTGGTCTATTGGGTGCATAATGTTAATAATAGTAAATTTTAAATTTTCAGTCTCAATATTTAGTATCACATATATACCATATAAATCAATGCTTTTAATGTAAAATACTTACTAGTAAATTCTTTCTAAATAGAATACTAACTCCCCTACTGTCATTCTTACCGAAACTATTGTAAGATACACCATTATTGTGTTTCTTGTAGCATAATAATATCTGTCTTCTAATCACTGAATTATTTAAATAGTTTATTTACTCTTATACCTCTGACATTAAGTGTTAAGAAATGCAAATTAGTCTTATTGATCATTTCTTTTTTTTCTTTTTTTTTTTTTGGAAAAAGCAATTGGTCATATTTTCAACTATTATATCATTATTTTTTTATATTATATAAATTTTTAGAAATTTTACAATTATTCTGTACAATATTATTTTGAAAGTGAATAATACATTTTTTCTTGTTGAGCATCTTCCTTGATTGGAGTAATATCTTTCCTTTTGCCATTTTTTTTTCTTTTGCAGGCCTCTTTGTTTTTAATTTTACTTCTTTTTACTTCTTGAATATTCTTTTTCTGCATCGACTGGAGTTTTGCACTTGCTTTCAATGCTGTGGAAGGAAACAAACTGGTTATTTTGCGTTTTTCCACTTTTTGGACATTTTTGGACCAGATACACCGCTATTATCACCATCAATCTTGTCTCCGTCATCTTCACCACTGGTTTTAGCATCCCCATATTCTTTCAGCTTCCTTTTCCGATTCAAAATTGGTATGTGAAATTGATTCAGGCTCAACCTCACTCATTGCCTTCTTTAAAACATTCATTTTGAGGGCATTCGTTTTTACGATGGCCTGGGTTTCCACAATTATGGACACCATTTCCTTTGTACAACTTGCAGCATTATGACCGGCAATTAAACACTTTTTACACACTAGGTTCTCTGGTTCAATTGTTTTGCCTTGATGAAAACCTCTAGCTTTAAAACCAATTAATATATCGTATTTTGGCAATCTGGTACCGGTATTTAATTTTTCAATAAATGGAATACGATTACCATTTACGCAGTTCGTCAGTTTGCCATCGACTCTTAGCTTAGATTTAATAATATTTCCTTCGATTTTGCATTCTAGCATCTTCAGTTTTACAGTGATCACTTATTCACTAACCGAAAGCGGTATGTCTTTTATAAGTAGTCTATCGATTTCTGTCTCACTATAGGTAATGTATAAGTTTTTGTCATGTACTTCCATCGATGTTTAGCCCGCATGATATCACCTTAACTCTTTGTTTGTGTGTTTTAAGGTACAATCGCCACAAACCTTTAATTCTGTGTATGCCATTAATATATTCTACTGGTAAATAATTTTTTAAAGCTCGAAAGAAATCTTCTTTTGGATAATTAATTCCAATACGACCGACGTATGTTGTTTGTAACCCTGGTAAGTTTTTGTTTTGGTTTGTTTGTAACCCTGGTTACTTTTCACCACTTTGATTACAGCATTGAGTGATTAAGTGGAAGTTACATAAGCTATGT